TCCCATCATCCCGAACTGCTCCATCCCGGCTACAGCCCGGGGCGATGCAGGCAGGTCCCGGTTTTCCTCCGCCGCAGCCCCGGCCCCACAGAGCGCGGGGAGTGCAGCGGGGCGGGCCCGGAGTCAGCGGTAGCGAAGCAGAAATAAATCCATTATTGTTTTTATGTATGTCATTAATCAATAGGTATAAATATAGAAACAATATAATATTTAAATATTATGTCTAAATAATATATCTAGATACTATGATGTATCTAATATTATATCTCATCTGTTATATATAACTTTTAATAATATTAATAAATATATTCTAAAAGTAATATATAATGATATGTTGACATATATAAACAGAATATATTAATATATATAACATATATGTATATAGTATTTATTATTCATCTTTATTTTCTGAATGCTAAGTACATGTTAAATCCAACACTAACACATGCTAAATCCATTTCTTCAATTTTTCAGGATTAATGGCCACTTTCATCATGAATCTCTTAAAATTTGGAGAAAAGGAGGTTTAGGGCTGACCTTGTTGCTCCCTACAACTCCCTGAAAGGAGGCTGTGGCCAGTGGGGATCAGGCTCTTCCCCCAGGGAACAAGTGACAGGATGAGRGGACAAAGTCTAAAGCTGGTCCAGGGAAGGTTTAGGCTGGAYATCAGGAGGGATGCTTCATGAAAAGGGTGATKAGACATTGGAATGGGCTGCCYGGGGAGKTGRTGGAGTCACTGTCCCTGGAGGTGTTTAAGGAAAGGCTTCACGGGGCACTCAGTGGGGACACACAGTGGGGACACTCTGGTTGATGCGKTGGGGATTGCTCACAGGTTGGACTCGATGATCTCAGAGATCTTTTCCAWCCTAAAGGATTCTGTGAAAATTTACCTCAGGCCCAAAGCTTTGCCTTGCCCCCTTGCTCTCTCCCACCTGGTAAGGAGCAGTGACCTCACTGGACATGGTGCCCCCTAATACCCCTGGAACCAGGGTCACRGATGGGGCAAATCCCACTGCATTTGCCATTTTCTGCACCAATTAATTTTTAATGTTTTTCRTTTTGTGACTTTTACACAGCACATTTTACTCTGGGGCCCTGTCAGGATTGGGGGAGGGGAGGTGGGATGCTTTTMCAGCTTTTTGCTTGGTTTTTTTGCATTTCAGTCCGCTGGGATGGCGAAACTGGGTCAGTGGGTTTCCACCTTCTGGTTTCCCAGCTCTGTGCCATGCATCTGCATTTGCATTTAGTGTGGAAAGGTAAACATTTAAAATATATTTTAATTGAAAATTAGAGGAACCATCATTTTCATCACATTCATTTAGTAGTGTGGGTGGTATTATGCAAAGATTTAAATTTCAAACAGAAAATACAGTGAGAGTTTCTCACGGATGGCTGACGGGGGGAAGGGTTGTTTCTCTCTTTAATGGAAGTAACATTTTCCTTGTTAATAAGGGAGGATGCATTCCAGATCACTTCCAAAGCCAATTCCAGAGAACAGCAACCGTGCTRTGTTATATTCCTCCATTTTACATAAAGTTGTTCATTAATATGGGGGGTTTTAATTAGAAATACTTTTTACAGAAAAAAAAATTGTTTATGAATAAAATAGCTTAAACCRAAATATTCCAATTCTGATCTGCCATCACACTGTCTCAGAGGAGCTGTACTTCAGCTGCTAAATGTCTTTACTCTCRTGGATGGAGTGGATCTCCCCTGCCATATTTCATACTCTGTGATGCATCAGACCATGAAATTCCCATAACATGTCAYCCCTCCCTAAAACAGAGGCTCGTGGAACAGCATGGGCAATGTGTTCAGTCTGAGCGAGCCTGGGAGGGACTCCCTGTCCAGTCCCCGGGGAGCACTTGTGCAGAATTTGYGCTCTGGATTGGAAGTTAGCCAAAAATGTTCCAGTTTCCAAAAATGTCATTTCAGGGAAAATTATTTGGGGGTGGGGTTTTTTTGTTATTTTTGGGGTTTTTTGACAGAAGTTTGAAAG